GTGTGTGTGTGTGTGTGTGTGTGTGTGGCAGACTGAGCTAGAAGCTTTGACGGTATAGTAGATGCCAGGTAGTATCAGTGAACCTGACTGAAAGCCACCATTGCTCCTGCATCACTCCATCAAAACTGACGGTTAAATTCACATGTGGGATTCTGGCCAATCAGAGGTCACACACGCTCAACCTGCTGGCATTGAATAACCATTAGTTCCCCTTTTATTTATTTTATTAAATTTTTTTTTGTGTGTGTGCTTGTGTGTAAAAATCTAAGAACATTATTAAAATACAGTTTTCAATTTATTTGTGGATAAAAAAATCCCAAAATTAAAATGGTTACTCTTAAACAATTAAAATATATATATATATATTTAGTTTACATAATGGTTGGAGAAAAGAATCATTGGGATTGCATTGTTAGTATCGATGTTGAGTTGTGATAAACTCATATTTTTCTCACTCACTTTTTATTGTTTTTGTTTGTTTCATCGCGTCACAACCAGGTGTTGGCATTTGAGTTGGCCAAATATATTTGGAACGCCTGGCACTGGGAATATAACAGTCTGGGATTCATTGCAGTCCAAGCAGTTCTTTGCAATACTTTGTTACTCTGAGAATGTTTTGGGTACATCGCGCAGCCCTACACTACAGCTGTAACACCCTGGTTTGATCATATTCTGATTCGTTTTCAGGTATTCTCAGTAAAAGCCGCCCCCGGGGCATGCTGCTACCATCGCTCGCAGACGGTTGCCCTCGCTGCACTTAAAACACACACATGCACCAGGAACTCTAAACACCGTCAGACAGACAGACAGACAGAAACACACCTAAACGTAATGCTTAAGTGCAGCCAGCGTGTCTCTGTGGGAGGTCATAATGGAGGTGGCTTAGTATGATGGGAAATCATATCATTAAAGCAGCCAGATGTGCTTTGTTGCCTGCCTTGCAGCACATAAAAACACCAGCAAGTCATGGGATTTAAAAAAAAATCCAAGTCTGAGAAAATCAAGTCTGAAACAGATAGAAAGCAGCCCTCTGGGACCGCGCTGACAAGCAGTCTTACTCCTGACTGCCATAGAAAAACAATTTCCCCCAAATAAAGATTTTTTTCTTCTCGTTTTTTAGTGTTGCAGCAGTAGAACAAACTCTTTCTTAACTTTTTGAAAGGATTTTAGAGAGGGATWAAAAAGAAGCTTTAATGAATTGCTTCATATCAGTATTATCAGCGCTCTGTGTAGTGAGCTTAATTACTATGTAATAGTGGTGTTGTGCTGAGTAATTACATTTTGTTAAGCGTCCGCAGCAGAGATGTAAGGCTTTAAGAGCTCATTAATGGAAAACTGKTGATATGTTTATTTATTTATTTTCCCACATTTGGTACATAGTTTGAGACATGAGGAAGATAAGAGAGGAAACGTTCCAGAGAAGCAGTCGTGCAAGATTTAAGGCACAAAAATGGATATCTCAAATTTTCTTAAGTAAAGTATTAGATTTGCTGAGGGTAAATTTGTTCTCTTGATCAACGCCGTGCCTCCTCGAGAGGCTATGGGAAAGTCTGCCAGAGTCAAATTTAACACGTTGCTATTATCAATAAAAGATGAGCAATTACAGAATATTTTGTTTAATAAGTTGTT